CTTCAGGCATGCTTGGACTGGACTGACTGGGATGTTTTCAGGACTGCTACCAACAATCTGGATGAGTTTACAGAGTCTGTGACATCCTACATCAGTGCATTCCAACACGCACCAGGGTGAGTGTATAACAATGACAAACCCTGGTTCACAGCTAAGCTCAGACAGCTGAGGTTTGAAAAGGAAGAGGCATTTAGGAGTGGGGACCGAGCCAGGTTTAAGGAGTCAAAGTACAGGTTTAGCAAGCTATGCGAGATGCTAAACAGCTGTATGCAGAGAGACTACAACACCAGTTCTCAAGGAATGACTCTGCTTCTGTCTGGAGAGGATTCAGACAGATCACCAGCTACAAACCTAAATCCCCCCACTCCATGAACAACTCACGCTTTGCCAACGAGCTGAACCAGTTTTACTGTCACTTTGAAAGACAATGGGACAGACCTGACACCATCCCCTGTCCCACCACTGATCGGCCAGTCCACCATCTCATCCCCACCCTCCCCCTCTCTTACCATCCTGGAGAGGACGTCAACAGACTGTTCAGGAGGCAGAAACCTCGCAAAGCAGGGGGCCAGACTGTTCCCCATCCACCTTGAAGCACTGTGCTGATCAGCTGTCTCCGGTGTTCAGACATTTTTAACACCTCACTGGAGTCATGACATGTGCCAGCTGCTTCAAAGCCTCCACCATCATCCCTGTCCCCAAAAAACAAGGACCAGGGACTAAACGACTACAGACCCGTCGCCTGACCTCTGTGTAATGAAGTCTTTTGAGCGCCTTGTTTGTCCCACCTTAAATCCATCATAGACCCACTCCTGAACCTCCTGCAGTTCGCCTGCAGAGCCAACAGGTCTGTAGATGATGCAGTAAACATGGCCCTTCACTCATCCTCCAGCACCTGGACTGCCAGGAACCTACGCCAGGATCCTTTTGTGGACTTTCAACACCATCATCCCGGCCCTCCTGCAGGACAAGCTCTCCCAGCTGAATGTGCCTGACTCCACCTGCGGTGGATCACAGACTTCCTGACAGACAGGAAGCAGCACGTGAGATGGGAAAAGTCCCTGACTCCAGGACCATCAGCACCGGTTCCCCCTCAAGGCTGCGTTCTTTCACCTCTGCTCTCTCCCTGTACACCAACACCTGCACCTCCTGTCACCATCTGTCAAGCTCCTGAAGTTTGCGGATGACACCACCCTCATTGGGCTCACTCTGGTGGGGATGAGTCTGCAGATGGGAAATCGACCATCTGGTGTCCTGGTGCGGCCAGACAGTGGAGCTCAACGCTCTGAAGACAGTGGGATGGTCCTGGACTTCAGGAAGAGCCAGCCCCACCCTCCCCCATCATCCTGAGTTACTCCCCTGTGCCCACTGTGGACTCCTTCCGCTTCCTGGGCACCATCATCTCCCAGGACCTCAAGTGGAGCTGAACATCACCTCCCTCACCAAGAAGGCCCAGCAGAGGATGTACTTCCTGCGGCAGCTGAAGAAGTTCAGCCTGCCAAAGTCAATGATGGTGCACTTCTACACGCCATCATTGAGTCCATCCTCACCTCCATCACCATCTGGTACGCTGCTGCCACTGCCAGGGACAAAGGCAGGCTGCAGCGAATCATTCACTCTGCAGAGAAGGTGATTGGCTGCAATCTTCCATCTCTTCAGGACCTGCACGCCTCGAGGACTCTGAGGCGAGCAGGAAAGATTGCAGCTGATGCCTCCAATCCCGGCCACAAACAGTTTTTAGACTCTCCCCTCTGGCAAGAGGCTGCGGTCCATCAGGACCAAAACCTCTCGCTACAAAAACAGCTTCTACCCGTCTGCAGCTAGTCTCATCAACAGGCCCGGGCCCCCCACTGACACTCCCCCCCTCAAATAATACAATCATCTCTGCACATGTAAATATCACTTCATGTCATATCATGCACGAACCTGGCACATTGCACATATTTGTTGTTAATTGTAAATTGTTGTTGTTCCATTATTCCATATTATATTTGTTAATTTTATTATTTTTATATTGTCAGTTGTATTATTTTTCTCTATTCTTCTGTTATTCTTATATAACTTGCATTTGTTTATTACATATTTATGTATTCCTACAGCTATTTATGTCAGCTGTATGTCTGTCTGCATGTAGCACCTTATTACCAAAGCAAATTCCTTTTATGTGTAAAACACTACTTGCCAATAAAGCTCCTTCTGATTCTGATTCTGAGAAGTAGCTCAAGAGGGTGACCCAATTGTGCGTTATGAGGTTTTATACATCCAAAAAACTTCAACCGTCCAAACAGGCGTCTAATTGAGACCTGTATTTATTTGTCAAAACATTTAGCCAAACCAGGCCAGTAACGGGGACAGGCCTCTAAATTGGGACTCTCCTTTCAATAGAAGTTTTACAGTAGCTACACATTTAATTGGGTATTGAAAATGTGTGTGTACTTCATCATCATGATCAATATTTGACTATCAATCGGCGGATTTGTTTCTCTTATGCCATTGTTACCACCACCCCAGGGGCTGTGGGATGTGCTGGAAAAACAAGTCTGATTCATGGAGGCCCCACCTCACAACTTATAGGACTCTAAAGGATCTTCTGCTAACGTCCTTGTGCCAGATACCACAACACACCTTAAGAGGTCTAGTGGAGTCCATGCCTCGATGGGTCAGGGCTGTTTTGGTGGCAAAAGTAGGACATACACAATATTAGGCAGGTGGTCATAAGGTTGGCTGAATGGTAAATTGGATTCAAATTTAAATTGGAGTTTGGATTTGATTTCAAAGAAACTGTCCTGATTAAACACATTTTTGTAGAATATTATTGGAGGCAAATTTCTTTTTTTCATTCTATTGTTTATATTTATAGTGGAAATAGAGGTTTTTGTTGGAATTAACAAACTGTGTCACCTCATTTTTTAGTCCAATATGTGGAAACTAATATTTTCCAAATAGAAAAACTCTACAGGCAGTGTCCACACAGCTCTGGATCACATATTCATTCTTTGTGTTTATTTGTTTAGTTTTTTTCTACAGTTTTTCATCTAAATATCTTCATCAACCATACCAATGTCCAACTATGAAACATTACCCAAGAGATAGGGTATGGGAATAACATCAGAATAAGGCTCAATGTAATACAACAAATACAAGAAAATAAATGTAACAGCAAAAATTACAAAAATAAACTAATAATAATACATACTAAATGGATACATATGTAATAAATTAAAAGGTAAATAAAATAGAATAACGTAAAATTATCTGTGACCTCATTATAAACAAAATAAACAAACACAACTAAAGCCCTTATTGATCTTTATGATGTCGATCAGAGTTCTGCAGCAGCTGTGACAAACTCCTCGTTCCTCTAAGATATTACATCGTCTATATCCGGTAAAAAGACGTTTGAGAGATTTAGATTGAATATTGAGTATTCTTGCACTTTCTGTCAATTACATGAAGAATCAATTTGTCGTTTGTTTTATCAATGTATATACTGTAGAATGTTTTGGTTGGATATTGAAAAAGACGTAATTTTTTTGTACAGTTGGTATTATTATTGGGGAAATTCCACATCCACAAGAAAAAATGGACTGACTCCAAACCACACTTTGGACAATTTCTCCAAGAACTCCATCAGTATAGCACCACAATTAAAAACATTAAGAACAAGAAGGCAATCAAGACTAACTGTGTGTTTGACAAATTTCTTTTGGACAGATGATATATTACTTTGAATCCATATTACCATTTTTTATTATTATTTCGCTATCTTCTTCTTTTGTTATTATTTATGTATTTTCTCTTCTTATACAGCTGCCCCTGAACGCCTGTAGGAGGCAGTGTTGTCGAGTGACAGACACGGACAAGGAAGTGCGCGTCATTCTCACCAAGCTGATGTAATATGGAAGCTTCTCTCTAGTCCCTTTAATAGTTTGCGCGCGTTTACAAAACATCAGATGGCAATTTTCTTGAACTCGTTATTTTATGGTCATTAATTTCACCCCATTCACACAAATAACTACTTTCTGTTATATTATTCTGCACAGCCACGTAAAAGGGACAGGTAGCATTAAGCCTATCTATTCTCCAGTGGGAATTTGAAGCATATTAACCACTGGAGAACCTTGCAAAAGCTGACTGAGATAATGAGATTTATTTTATATTATTTTTATTTGTGTTAAATTGATCTGTGTATTCTTTGTTTTTTATGTGTTAACAAGCAAAAACTTTCTTAAGATTAATAGGTGTTTATCTTTTAAACTCACACTTTAGATTAGGCTATTTTCTCATTCAGTGTTTAGACAATCATTCGGCTCAGGGTGCGAACTACGGGGAGCCAGGGGGAGCTTAGCTCCCCTAAAAGCATGATTTGTTATTTTGGGGGTCTCTAAAATATTGACAGCATGCTTTATTGCCATTCATTTCTCTATCATCATGGATCCATGCGTAAATTCAGGAACGTCAGACTTCATCCAGCCTGAGGGAACGATCACCGATCGTCCGCAGCGGGCCAGTCACTCCGCGATCTCCTGTCCCTAGTCCGCCCCACTCCCTCTCCGATACGGGTTGTGTCGCTAGTATGACCAACGCGCTGTAAACGGTTCGTGATCGTTCTGTCTGGCTGGATATTACGCATGATCCATGCAGAACTGCAGCTGTGGGCTCCCCGCAGTGCCAAGCAACTTTTCAAATTCTTCCCTCTCACGGAGAAAAGAAATGACAGGTCGCAAACAGCTGTTGTGTTAAGCGTAATTGTAGCAGAATTGCTACATGCCTCATACTTTCAGTCAGCCCAGGCCTATATGCTTGTAGCTATTAATGATTCAGCAGTAAGAATCAAAAGGTGAGCTCCCCCGAAAGCCATGGTATAGTTCGCACACTGACGGCTGATTTGTTTCTCTTACTCCAGTGCTAACACCGCCCCCACGGGCTGTCTTGCACATGAAAACATTCACACCACATGGCCGTTGCCCACGTGTCTGATGGCTGGAGAAAAAAACATCACGAGTGACTACTGCAGCTGTGGGTGCTACAAATACAGCACATGGTGGCGTTTGGTAGCTGCTTGTAACGACGGACACCAGCGGGCCCCAGACTCCGTGCTTGTTTGAATTCTCAGTTTAGAAGTTAAAGTTGGATACCTTTTCTTTCGGCCACTTTTTCTTGTAAAGCGCCTAACTAAGTTAGCGTTACTTTTGAAGTTTGTCTTCGTGCAAGGCTGTGAGCGAGGGTTATACAGAGGACTTCTAAAAACCACTTCTTCCATTCCGCCCGCAGCAGCTAAGCATAAGCTAGCATGTCGACCGGCACAAATGAAGTTAAAAGCTGCCCCATCCCCACCAGGGTGCTCACCCTGAAGGACTGGTCCCAGCTACCCGACTGTTACAGCCAGACACCCGGGGGGACCCTCTTCTCCACCACACCCGGAGGTAAGAAATGTGGAAACGGAAACTTAACGAGTGATAACGCTTTCTCTCGAGACACTAAAGTTTCTGTTTCATGTTCAGCCTTTTGGTTTATAAAATGCTTCACACCACGAAACGTTTCAGAAAAAGTTAGCTTTAAGTTGTTGTAACGTTAACTCAGCAGTTTGTGTATACGTGCACGTACTCGACGATAAGCTCTCGCGAGAATCTGCGAACAAAACACATTTAAAGTATCGGATTAAAACAATTATTTAGCTCGCCCTAACACCGTAAAATAATCATATTAAAACGAGAACATTATGAACCAAAATGATATAATCAAGGTGGATAAATGCCTTGTTTGCATAGTGACAGTTGGCTGCAGTCCTCATGTTGTCAACAAGTTTGTTATTGTAGTTAGTTGTAGTAATTTTTTTTTTTTTTTTTTTTTTTTTGTGAACCTAACATTTAAGTACTTTTTACACCATAAGTAGTGCGAGTCTGCACATCGCTTTTTACTCTGTTTTAATATCGTACATTATCAAATTACAATCACTGTTACATAGTAGGACACATCTTTTCATTGCTGATAGCAGAACAGTAGTAGTAACTTTAACTTGCATAAAATGTATTCATGAATATTTGAAATCACATTGTTCACACTTTTCAAACACATTGAGGTCTCAGCACGCTGTTACTTGTTTCATCAAAACCCTGCCTGAAGACAACAAGAACTGTCTAACCCTGACTTGTGATTTTAAGAGGGTGTATGTGTCCAGCTGCCAGAACAGCAGTGTGATTGGCCTCTGCAGTGGTGGAGGAGTTGGAGGCCGTCCTATCCTGGCTGCTCTCTGCTTTGCATTTCAGCAACAGCAGAGAACATTCTGTACAAGTTAAGGGGGGGGGAACTGGGAGGAACTGTCTAGCCTAATGCATGGGGAGTATGTGCAATTTAAAATTTTGTGCCAAACATTGATGACACTGGTAAACACAGCAATGGAAGTTGCAACACAAAGTTTTTACTTGTATTCACTTTATGTGCAACACATCTCACTGTGTTGCTGGGCTGACCCCTCTTTTACATAGCTGCCTATACTATCGGTTGCATTCCAGCCCCCTTTCCTCACCCCAATTATTTCTCTCCACCTCTGCATTACTTCCCTTTTTCCAGGACAAACTGCTCACTGCTCAGTTATTACATAACATGTTTTTCCATTGTGGAGAGGTTGATACTGTACAGACTGGTTCAGACTCATAAAGAAGCAGTAGAGCACTCCTTGACTCAGTCACATCCTGGTCAAACTTATCACAACACGCCATTTATGACACTGTTTTTCCTTGGAGTTGGCCAATGTCCAAATGGTGACAGACAAGTCAAGTAGATTTTAGATGTGACAAACTGCAGGGTTTGTGTGGCGCTTCAAGCTTGCGTCATATCACCACTTTGAGAAAGCTTGAGAAAACCCATGATTGGATACATACTTAAAGTATGTTTCATTTGCCCTCTCTGCAAATAACGAAACATATGGCTTTAGTTTAATCTCAGGGCCTCGTGCTTCTAAGAGAGAATGTTTTGTGCTCTGATTTCCTAGAACTCATTGCTGTGGTAGCCTTCATCCCTCCCCTCTGTGTGCACACAGACCTCTCCTTTTCCAACTAAAAGAAATCCCCTCTGGTAGAGAATAATGATACTTAACTTCCCTAATGAGCAAATATTGCAAAGATGCAAAAGTGTAATAACGAGGTGGGTGGGTGGTGCGTGTGTGCGTGCGTGCGTGCGTGCGCGCGCGCATTCCTTTCAGGAATTGAAATTTGATGTTTGTTTACTGCGGGTCAAACACCAGATTTTCTCTTTTGTTTTCTCTCAAACATAGGCACACGTATCATCTATGACAGGAAGTTTCTTTTGGATTGTCGAAACTCACCTCTTGCCCGAACCCCCCCATGCTGTCTGCCCCAGATCCCTGGGTAACAGTACCTGCTACACACCCCATGGGGAAACTGCAGGATCTCAAAGAGGAGGCGGAGGAGGAAGAGAAAGACATTGCAGGTAAACATACCACTATTTAGTTCTTGTTTCTCTTGAGTTTGACTGGTTTTACAGAGTGGAGTAACTTTACAGGAAAACACAGATTTCCAGGCTCATGTTTGGAGTGACATACGTCTGTACCATAACACACAAACAGCTCTTTTTGTGGTTTTATGAAATAAAGAACCTCCACAATGCACACTTGTGTAGCCTTATCAAATACAAGAACTACACATGCCAATTTCCCTACGTATAGAATGCTTTTCCAAATTAACGTTGCGTTGTTGTGAACTTGCAACCCTTTTGTTTCAGCTTTGAGCTTTATATTGCGTTGCCATGAGTATTCAACTGTACTAATACAGCAGATAGGTGCAGCATGTGTTCCTGCAGTGCCATGCCTACATGTTTGCAGCACAGCAGCTGTGCTGTGTTGAGGACTGGGACATGAGTGCTCCATCATTATCGCCATGTGTTAGTTTAGTTTAGTGTTTCAGGGTCCGTGCCTTCATGGGTATAACCAGGACTTTTAAACTAGGCCAGTGGCTTATTTACTCAACAATCACTATATATTTCATATTGTAACAAGTCTTTCTCTGTCTTTCAGGCTGCCGGTGTCAGGTGTTAGTTTGTTGTTGCTGAGGGATTAAGACAGATAACAACGGTTATTTAGCAAATGAACAGTTTAACTGAGTGTACTGTACTTCTGATAGCCCCTCCAGAAGACATGACTTCTTGGAGATAAAATACCCTTATTTTGGCAGTGCTTCTCTTGTGGGGCTTTCATGACACTGTAACCAAAGATTTTGGGCTCACGAGCAAGTTGAGACCGCTATTTATTTTTGAGCGAAATGCATCCAACCATCAATCTGTCCTTCTCCATTCCTGCTGTCAAACTAAAGACCATGGGGATTAGGGTTGACCCCCTTTTCCTCTGTCCCCTTGTCTAGCTTGGTAAACACACAGGGCATGTCATGGGGTTTTGGAACTGTGAGCTACATCCTTTTTAGTCAAGTGTATTTTGTTGTTGTTTTTCAGTTATGAATGTAATGATAAGGTCTGCACTTTGTCATCTTCACTGTAGTCCGTTAAGGCGTGGTTGGGCTTGGGGTGTCAAATATTTGCCCTTTTCCAATCTTAACTGTTTCTTCTGTCCCTTTGTCAACAGATGACAACCAGTTTGAGATGGACATCTGAGCTCCAGTATTACCTCCTGTGGAGAGTTAGTTAAATTACCCCAATGCATTATATATAAAGCTTTTTTCACCTTTTTTTTTTTTCTTTTAAAAAAAATAAAAGCTTTAGTGGGGAACTAAAAAGGAAAACACAGAAAACTGTAGGGCGCTTTTGACCCTAAAAAAGTGTTAAGTATAAAAATGGTATTAAATGGGTTGATTGGTTGCTCACTCACTTCAGAGCTGCAGCAGGATTGAAAAAATCCATTTTGATTTAACCTTTTTTTTTATCTTTTGTAAATAAGAAAATTGTACTATGTAGCCTATTTTTTAAGTTGGGGAATATAAAATGATTACAATTTTTCACTGCAGGCATCAGTTTTGTTTTGTTGTATTCCCCTCCTCCTCCTCCTACCCCTCCTCCCTCACCCCACCCCACCCCACCCCAAAAGAAGGATGGCTAACTTTCCTTGTCATAGGCAAACAAGTGTCCTAATGTTGGGGTCAGGGCCTACTGAAAATCAGCTACTCTGTTTTAAATGGACGGAGAGATGAAATGTGAATAATTTCAAATAAAGGCTGCTTGAAACGCCAGCAATCGTGTGTTCTTTTTCATTAGATGTACCTCTGTTAGAAAGTGAAACCATTGACGTATGTCCTTGCCTTAAAGAGCTGCATGCTGACAAGGAGCTCACACATGTATCATTTTAACATTTGGTCTTTGTCACACACTGATAACACAATTGTGAAAAAAGCCTAATTTAGTCATTAATGTAACTTTAATTTATTACTATTACATATAAATATCGTGTGTGTGTGTGTGTGTATATATAGCAAAGCGGAACTGTTTAAATATTATGATCTTGTAGTGTACACTAAATTCAGACTCTCACGCTGTTACCAGGGTCAGGGCTAGGTATGCGTGTTTGTCACAGACACTGATCTCCAGATTAGGAAGGCTCAACATAGGAGTAGGCCTGGTTTTAAGGAATGAGGGCAGCTGCTGTCCAAAGGCCAGACGTATTGAAACCGCTCTGTGGGGGAGGGGCTTGCCACTTTATGGTATTTGACCAGGCAATTATCTCAGATTTACTGACAACAATATGAATGTTTTTTTCAGCACTGATAGCCCCACAATCTGTGTTTTAAAGCTGTTAGTGAGTTCAAGGTGTATCATGTTTATTTGATAGGGACAGATGCTATAAATATAGACAATTGTAGAAACAAATTCCAATGCAATGCAACACAGCATTTATAGCTAGTGCTACTTTCCAATGCCCATCCCTAGAAGGGCTTTTAAATCTTCAGTGCAGTTTTCAAGTGAGAACAGATAAGCAGGTCGCTGTGCGTCATGTGCAAGTTAGTGATGTGGATCAGTCCGCTCAGCTGTTTGTGTCCTATGTCCTTGCAGATACAATGACTTTGCATTGCGCTAAAGCTATGAACTTTCAGCCAGGAGGCTCTGATTTATTGATTCCCATCAGGTTTAAAAATGTGGTCAGTATTTGGTCCATTGCAATTCTTCCAAGAGCATGCAAAGTAAACCTGCTGTGCCCTGTAACAAAGGCAGATGGGACCCATTGCAGAGCATAATGATAGGATAACTTCATAACATCAGGGTGGGCACTCGGCTGCGTTTGAAAAATGTGCCAAGGGGCACGTGAAAACAAGACCAGGTGCCAGGTGACTGTAAAATGCCACAAGCTCCCGTCGTGTAGTTTTGAGGGATTTCCTATCTGGGGAGATATGAAACTGAAAATGATACTGGAATGTACTCCACAAACCTCATTGTTCTTGTGCATACACACACCTACACACATTTGCACAAGATTTTGGTGACACACAGTGAGGAGCACTTTTATTGATCATTGAACACCAAATCTATATAGAGATGACCATCTATCACATAATTAACTACTCAACACATTGTCTACAATAAATTATTTTGCCTTTCTCAATAGGCCTACTGACCCATCAAGCTTGGACCAATGAAAACCAATGGAGACAAATGCTATCAACATAAGGCATATTATAAGGTTAGGAGATTGTTGAATCTCTAGCTCAAAATAGTTCTCTCATGACTGAAAAGTGTGCTCACTTTGGACAAAAACCCCCACCAGTGTATTAATGCCAAATCAGCCTCCCTTATTGATCTGCACAAAAGCATGACTGCCACTCTGTCTTTGTAGTGGAAATAAAATTATATATGTACAACATGATTACTTGCCACATAAATTTGATATAAATGTCTTGTAAATTTTGAAACCAGAATTGGCTCTCACTGCAATCTTTGGACACAATCATTGCAATCACACCTGCACATAATTTCCAACGTACGATTTTCCATTGGTCATTTGAATTTGTAAATGAGATCACGTCAAGATATTTTTGTAGTCCATTGGTCAGAGTGGGAGATCTTTGCTAATGTGTTTATCACTGGGCATGTAATAAGGGATCGATCCCCAGACCAAGAGCCAAAAGTGTCTGCAAACATACATTTGTCAAGTCTTATCTTTTTGTCTTGAAATGTGAGGCATTTTACAAACTTCCATAGTGTTATATTGTGAAAATATGATTTCACATATTTCAGACGTAAACATGGTCATAATTAAAAAAAAATAAATAATTATGTTGTTTAACTGCAGTTAAGCACAGTTAATCCAAATGAATAAATATTTATCAAGTGCAAATGTGTCCCAAGGGTCTGCTTACTTCTGACATGAAAGGCTTCATTTTGGTTTGTGGAGATCCAGTCAATGGTCTGATTGATGGTTTTGATCCCCCCCGCTCCCCTTCCACTTTCCTGGTAAGAGGGTTGGGAAGAGTTGAACTGGTTGATGAGGCTCTATTTTTGTCAGCCGCTCCTGTTGAAGCCACGGGTACAGGATCGGCCTGCATTGCCGAGGTGACGATGTAAACAGACACTCAAACACGCGGCCTGCTTGGTCACATCTATCATGACGGAGGGAGGACAGGGGCTGAAGTGGGCCACATATTTTACTCATGCATGAACACACATTCACAAACTTAAATTTATATTACATTCACTCAAATATTTACATTGCAGGAATTCAGCCAACTGTTTTACAGCGTACACCAGTAAAATAATATTCAATTCCTAGATCCCTGCTGCACGTTGAAATTAAATCTGAGATGCAAGCTGTAAGTAGTTTCTTGGATTACATCATGTGCAAGTGTATTTCATCATTAGCGTTAACCTGTTAAGCACCTGTAGGTGTTTGCAACAAAAGACAATATAATGAAGGTCTTTAAGCCATGTATTTGGCACGATCTTAGGATAAAGCTGTGCATTTGCTGTTTGTTGCAGAATCTCTGCCATGCCTCAGATCACTCTTTTAACATCTGCTGCCAGGCTATTGTGTAATGTGTCACCAGTAATAGTACCTTTCCCCAACATCTTTCCCATGCATTACTTACTAGCTGTAAACATAGCTTGGTGTGTATATACATATACAGTGGGTACGGAAAGTATTCAGACCCCTTTAAATTTTTCACTCTTTGTTTCATTGCAGCCATTTTCCAAAAATCAAAAAAGTTCATTTTATTTCTCAGTAATGTACACTCAGCACCCCATCTTGACAGAAAAAAACAGAAATGTAGAAATTTTGCAAATTTATTAAAAAGAAAAACTGAAATATCACATGGTCATAAGTATTCAGACCCTTTGCTCAGTATTTAGTAGAAGCACCCTTTTGATCTAATACAGCCATGAGTCGTTTTGGGAAAGATGCAACAAGTTTTTCACATCTGGATTTGGGTATCCTCTGCCATTCCTCCTTGCAGATCCTCTCCAGTTCTGTCAGGTTGGATGGTAAACGTTGGTGGACAGCCATTTTCAGGTCTCTCCAGAGATGCTCAATTGGGCTTAAGTCAGGGCTCTGGCTGGGCCATTCAAGAACAGCCACAGAGTTGTTGTGAAGCCACTCCTTCGTTATTTTAGCGGTGTGCTTAGGGTCATTGTCTTGTTGGAAGGTAAACCTTCGGCCCAGTCTGAGGTCCAGAGCACTCTGGAAAAGGTTTTCGTCCAGGATATCCCTGTACTTGGCCGCATTCATCTTTCCCTCGATTGCAACCAGTCGTCCTGTCCCTGCAGCTGAAAAACACCCCCACAGCATGATGCTGCCACCACCATGCTTCACTGTTGACACTGTATTGGACAGGTGATGAGCAGTGCCTGGTTTTCTCAACATACCGCTTAGAATTAAGGCCAAAAAGTTCTATCTTGGTCTCATCAGACCAGAGGATCTTATTTATCACCATCTTGGAGTCCTTCAGGTGTTTTTTAGCAAACTCCATGCGGGCTTTCATGTGTCTTGCACTGAGGAGAGGCTTCCGTCGGGCCACTCTGCCATAAAGCCCCGACTGGTGGATTGCTGCAGTGATGGTTGACTTACTACAACTTTCTCCCATCTCCCGACTGCATCTCTGGAGCTCAGCCACAGTGACCTTTGGGTTCTTCTTTACCTCTCTCACCAAGGCTCTTCTCCCCCGATAGCTCAGTTTGGCCGGACGGCCAGCTCTAGGAAGGGTTCTGGTCGTCCCAAACGTCTTCCATTTGAGGATTATGGAGGCCACTGTGCTCTTAGGAACCTTAAGTGCAGCAGAAATTTTTTTGTAACCTTGGCCAGATCTGTGCCTTGCCACAATTCTGTCTCTGAGCTCTTCAGGCAGTTCCTTTGACCTCATGATTCTCATTTGCTCTGACATGCACTGTGAGCTGTAAGGTCTTATATAGACAGGTGTGTGGCTTTCCTAATCAAGTCCAATCAGTATAATCAAACACAGCTGGACTCAAATGAAGGTGTAGAACCATCTCAAGGATGATCAGAAGAAATAGACAGCACCTGAGTTAAATATGAGTGTCACGGCAAAGGGTCTGAATACTTATGACCATGTGATATTTCAGTTTTTCTTTTTTAATAAATTTGCAAAAATTTCTACATTTCTGTTTTTTTCTGTCAAGATGGGGTGCTGAGTGTACATTACTGAGAAATAAAATGAACTTTTTTGATTTTTGGAAAATGGCTGCAATGAAACAAAGAGTGAAAAATTTAAAGGGGTCTGAATACTTTCCGTACCCACTGTATATCAAAGGTCAGGTCCTTGTTTCTCGGGGGCACCACTGGTCTGCAACTCTGCCTCTTGATATAGGCTACCAATTGTACATACTCGTGCAAGCTATATGACATGTTGGCCTGGTATTGTCTTGCAGAATAGAGACCATTTCCTTTAAAGTTCCAGTGTCAGTGGCAGCTGTCATGCTGGCTGGCTGCTGGTATGCTATATTCATACTGTACTCATGTAATGTCATGTCTGATGGAGGAACTGAGATGATGTTTCACAATCCTGTCTCCCAACTCTACCACCCATTGTATGTGTGTGTGGTACATACGCATGGGTACTTTACAGATTAATAATATACTTAAAAACAGTAACATCATGTAATGGTGCTTTGTTATAGATTAACTATACCCAGCCATATGTAATACAACTCCACCTCAACCTGCTTAAACATTATAGTGCTTACTGCTCAGTATTTGTTATCCAGTATTATATAATAACTAAACACTTAC